TATCGGATAAGAGAAGCAAATGCGAAAACGTAATTCCGATGCACGAAATTGATTAGCCGTTATTTCTGTTCCAGATCTGGCTATAATAAATGGAGAGATGCGATGAAACCGACTCAAATACTCTCGAAGCTATGCAAAGATGGTAAAATCGATGGGCCAGTATATTCTCACGGCCGTGTTACAATCGGTAGAAAAACCTTTTCCCTTTCAAACGAGGAAATGGAATTTTATGTACATACGAAGGGTACGTGAAAAGATTAAAATGCAAGAATACATAATCAATACTTTAGTATTTGAATATGTATAAGTTACATATATTGTAAAATGGAAGATAACTTTGACCGAATCGAGATAAATTTAGCTCAAATTTTAAAAAATGTATATTATAAAAGGATTTATGCTGTTTTTGAATATGCAGCGTTGACATAAACATCATATCACATAAAAGATTTTTTCTTTTAGGAATGGAAGAACATCTCGCTTTAGCCGTTCTTCATCAATGGAACGCTTTTCCGCGAATAGGTTGTGCCTTGGTACCCGAACATGTGGAGACCCGACCTCTCTATAATCCCGAGAAACCAGGTATTGAACAGGGAAAATTGGAAATGTGGGTGGACATGTTTCCAATGGACATGCCCTCGCCGGGACCATCCATCGATATTTCACCGAGAAAGCCCAAGAGTTATGAATTGAGAGTAATCATATGGAATACAGACGACGTCGTGTTGGAAGATGACGCATTCTTCACCGGCGAGAAGATGAGTGACATTTATGTAAAAGGGTGAATATAGATTTCTAAGGAAAACAAATTTTTCATCAACTTTTTTTTATATAAATTGGATCAAAAAATTGATTTTAATTATTATCGATAATCAGTGTTTTCTGTTATCTAGATAAAATTATCTAGATAATTATATAGATGAAGAAATGGCTTTATCTTATCTTTATCTAGATTATTAAGAATATAGATTATCTTTATCTTATTTTAGATAAAATATTTTTCAAATTAACTAAGATTGTAGAAGAGTGTTGTAAAAAAATTTCTATATAACTTCTAGTAGTAGTAGTAATGACGAGAATTTTTTTATGATATAGATAAAATTAGGATTAGTATGATATCAATCATAATTCAAAGCGACATTGAAGTACTTTCATATTTAGAAGATAAATCTAAGGAATTAAATATTTTTAATTTGTATCAACACGTCATACAAATTTTTTTTAAGTATGATATATCATTGCCATTATCAGCGCCAGTAGAGCGCCTTTTTATTTGTGGACAATAAATATTAATTCCACATAGAAATATTAGATGAAATGTTCAAAAAACTTTTATTCGTAAAAAATAAAAATTAATGAAAATATAAATATATTTTTTTTATCCTAATGCCCAATTTCTTCACTTCTAGATAACTTGCGGATAACCTTATCCAGGAGATATCTCCATTTTATTCTGAGAGATATTTTTTGGATAGTTATCTAGAGGTGAAGAAATTGGGCATAAATCGTTTTACTACCTAATAGTTAGTTAAAAACAAAATTATCTTAAAAATTACCTAGATAAAAATTTTTTAATTTCTTTTATCTGGATTAATATAAAGTTAATCATCTTCATCTTATCTAAGATACATTTTTGTGTGATTTATCGTATCTATATCTAGATACTTTTTAATTATCTAAGCGCAACACTGTCGATAATAATGAATAAACAGTAAGTTTCTCTCAACCACAAAATATTTCTCTTAGATCTTATTCTTTTCTAACAATAGTTTAATCAAAAACGCCATTTTGTTCAAAATTTTATTTAATTTTTTATAATAAATAGTCATATTGTATATCATTTGAACATTGCTTAACAGATGGCTAAAGGGACCGGAGGATTGTCAGTCCACCGATATTCATTATCGATCATTAACCGGCGAAGGAAACTTTAACTGGCGCTTTATATTTCCATTCGATTATCTGGTAGCGGAAGAGAAGATCGTTATTAATCGTAAAGAAAGCCTATTTAGCTGGGACGAAACCGAATGTAAAATACCAGCACGCCTAGAGTTACAGGTAATGTAATTAAACGATACTTTCGATCTCGTTCCGATACATAAAAATAATGACGCTTTTTGCAGGTCTGGGATGCAGATCATTTCTCAGCAGATGATTTCTTGGGCGCGATAACACTCGATCTCAATCGATTTCCTCGAGGAGCAAAAAATAGTAAGCTCTGCTCGTTAAGCATGCTAAAAACAGACGGATCTGTGCCAACGGTTAACATTTTCAAGCAAAAACGTATAAAGGGATGGTGGCCGTTTTATGTGAAGAAAGAGAATGAAGACATGGAGCTGACGGTAAAAGATATCACTATACATAAATATAAGATTTTAAATATACAGGGTGAGCAAAAAGCATCGAACCGGCTAAATATTTCGAAAATAAGGCATTTGAGAAAAAAAATGTTTCATATAAAAATTGTGAAGTTTTATCAAACGGCAATATTAATTTGACTTTGAGCGTAGGTGTGAATAAGTTTTCAAAGTTAATTAAAAATGTTAACTCCTATTTTTATTCAATATTCTTATAACTAACGTTGAGATCTTTTTAAAATACCATGATAAAACATTTTTTGATTAAATACTTTTTGAGTTATATGGGTTCCCATATGAAAAGAACCTATTGAGAACTATTATATTAAAAAATATGAATTATTCAGAATTACTCAGAGAACTATTAATATCATGTAGTGTTAAAGGACATTACTATTCATTACTATTGGAATATGTATAGTTTACTATTGGAAATTGAATAGTAACTATAGAAATAAAAATGTGAATAGTTCTCAATACTTCCCAATAGTTCCTTTCCATACGAGTTAATAGATTCAGGTATCGCTGGCACTAGTATTATTCAAAGGTTCCGACCGACAACTGAAACCTTTTAAAAAATGAAAATGAAAGGACTAGTTTTTAATTGCCTTGAGTTTAATATATCAGCCCATATATCTTGAAAAGTATGTCGATATCATGATATTAAAAAATTTTTCAAAACCGAAACTTTTCGTTTTAAAACCAATTCTTTCATTACTTTTCAACATATGTGTGCTTTTAGCTCGATGTATGTCAATCCATATATCATCTTGAAAAGTTAGCTTTGAAAAGAAAGTAGTTTTGAATGGTTTTGTCGTATGACTATGGCAAACTCAAATTTATTGGAAATCTTATTTTTATTTTTCGTAAATTCAAAAGATTTCAACTATCGATCGGTCCGACAGTCAGACACTTATTTATACATAATGCTAGCGATATCTGAATAAATCGAAAAATCTTCAATCAAAAGATGTTTTATTGTAATGTTTTGAAAAGTTTTTAATGTCCACCACAAAAATATTAAATATTGAACAAAAGTAAGAATTTCTATAAAAAATTTTTAAGTTGACTTTGAGAGCGTTTACATACGTGCGTCCAAGTTTAAATAGTTTACCATTTGATGAAACTCTACAACTGTTATATGAAACTATTTTTCCTCAAATACCTTATTTTCGAAATATTTAGCTGGATCGATATTTTTTACTAAGTATGTTATTTATTTATATAAAAAATAGAAAACTTTTAATTTTTTACTTAAATATATTAAATTGTTTTTAAATTATATTTTATATTAATTTATATATTTCGTCAGACACTTATGCTTTATTGCTTTGTACAGGGCAAGGTCGAAGCCGAGATACATTTGCTCACAAAAGAGGAGGCAGAAAAAATTCCTGCTGGTTTTGGTAGAAACGAACCTGATCCACTGGATAAGCCAAAGTTAGTATAATAACACAACAATATTAGTTTCTTCTGTTTTTATGTTTATGATAATCTACTATCAATTTTTTCATATTTTTAACTCTTTTGCAGTCGACCGGATGCATCTTTCATGTGGTTCCTCAACCCACTAAAGTCCATCAAGTATATAGTTTGGCACAACTATAAATGGGCTATCCTGAAAGCCATAATTGCGATTGGATTGATCATACTTTTGCTCTTATTCTTTTATGCAATACCAGGTTATTCTGTGAAAAAGATCTTGGGAGCTTAAATGCTGTTCGTCGCAATGTATAATTGTTGTTTTAGAAAACAATTTGACGGTTTAAAAATGTAATCACAAAGCTATATTGTTACATTATACAAAATCGACGTAAATTAGCATTAGATTAATTTCTCTAATTTGTCCTTAATATTGGCTTGTGAAAATTAGAATTCTTTTATAGTGACAAAATAGAAGTCATAATGGATTTTAATAGAATTAAAAAACACATACAGGGTATTTCTGAGCAACTCATATAAAAATTATAATTGAGAAATACCTTGTATAAAATATCAAAGCAAAAATAAAATATTTTTCGAAGAAATAGAAGTCATGTATCTTGCAGTTTCATGTTAGACATGCAAATGTTAGGGCACTAGAAATTATATTTTACGTATGAATGTTGTAGATAAATTGTATGAAGTACTGATTTATGACCATTTTTGAAATTCGTATTACTTCGTTCCTGAAGAAGTCTTGTTAATAAATGTAATTTTTTTTATCCTTGATCAGTTTATAGTGGACCAAAGTAATAAATTAATCAGAATAATTGCAAATTAGGACTACATTGTAAATAATTCATACACACAGTGACCTTAAAAAAATATACTAAAAAATGAGAAAAATATTAGCAATTAGCAACATAGTCGCTTGTACAAAATAATATATTTTTACTCGTAAAATATTCTGTATCATAAGGTGTGATTCACTTCGCTGAGCAATCAGAAAGAATTTTATGAATTGACCAATCAAAAAATATTTCGAAGTATTTGCAGCGTAAGTGGATCATATCCATAGTGACAATTGTGTTTCGCGGGCGAAAACACAGGAAAATCATTCTTTATCATCAAATTGCTCATTATATATTAAGAAAACAATGTGTGTAAAAAAAAGAGATAAATAAAATATCTGAGCAAGATGCAATATAATAAACTATTTTATTATTCCGCAGATAACAACGAAAATTTATTAGCTACAAGTACGTCGTTTTCCTCATTTGACGATTCCGTAGATTTATCATTCGCTGCACTTCTAGAAGATTCTGTCAGTCTTTCGTCGTCAGTTTCTTCATCTTCAGAAGACATATCTTCGGTTGGTGTACTGAAATTATCACCCTTATTTCTAGCTTGAATCCATCGTACTGTCTCAACATCTGCGTGATTTTCCCATTTTTCTAAAAAAAATTTACGTTATTTACGTTAAGAATACATATTATATATACATATAGTTGTTTAAACAATTTTTTTCACAAATAATCTTATCTGTGTGTGATAAGAGAGAATAAAATAATACTTTTATCAATGGTCCAATTCGGTGGGTATATATACAAACAAATTTTTCCTTCTAACGCCATTCGTAACAATGAATTTGCTGCTCTATATGTATCTAATCTAGCTGCTCGTGCCGTCTTAAAATCTCTTTTAATAGCCCAACCATCGCAGATGTCCATAGCGGACCACGTGTCATCGTTCTCTGGATGTGGAATCTTTAATAGTTTCGGTAGATTCACTCTTTCGGCTAGAAATTGTACAACAGTGTATGGTTCTCTGACTTGAGCAATCGGGAATGAACCCATTAATATTTGTACTTCTTTGGGCACGGTCGAAGGAAAGACCAAACCAGGACAATCGCACAAACATACAGTCTTTGTAAGATAAATAGTCTGAAAATGCTTAGTATGACCAGGAGTACGAGACACGCTCACGACTTTCTTGCCTGTAAAATAAAATATTAGATGATGAAAATCAAATGACATTATTAAATATAAAACATAAAAATAAAAAAAAATCATTATTTAATTAATCATTTAACAAATGATTAATTATATAATACAATCATGTAATTAAATAATCTTGCTTCTTTACCCATCAATGCATTCATCAAAGAAGACTTTCCAACATTTGGCGTTCCAATACACCCAATAGTCAGAACTCCATTTTTGTATTTTTCGTGTTCAAAGTAAGTGGTATCCTCCTTTTCGATTATTACATTATCCTTGTGATTTATATCATCTAAATCGTATTCGGAATGCATTTCCTCTTGAATCTTCTCATACCAAGAACTTAGATCGACTTGATCACCAACAATATCTTTACAAGCCTCTAGCAACTTCTGTGCTCCTTCCGCGGCCATTCTCAATTTTCCCTTGCGACATCTTTTCTTTATACCCTCCTCCTCGTTGTTTGTACTACCATGAAGATTGTAAGTGGGATACGATGTGAACATTAAAATGTGTAATTTTGGATATTGATTATGAAAATATTCTTTCCAAGCCACCACTAACGCTGGAGGTGCTAGATCAACCTTATTTAATATCAAAATCATATCTTTTTTCAATTTCTTCGTCACATAGTCGTATAAATACGGAGGAAACATTAAAACAGGATATCTGATATCGACAATAATTAATAAAATATCTGACATTTCTAGAACCCTCCACAGTTGTCGCCAAGTTTCTAAATTCAATTCAAAATAACTCGAACTAGCTAATTCCTCCATACTGTCCAAGTAATCCTAAATACAAATTATTAGTCAGTAACATGTTCGATAAGCTAGAATTCTGTTTAGTACAGATAGAGTCATAACTACATACTGTAAAATATCTCTGTTCTCTCGTCTCCAATTGCTCCTTTGTCATATTAAAATCCCATGGAGGTCGCTTTGGCATGTCAATTCCAGGCGGAAAATAATTATCGGAAATTTCTTGATCCTTGAGACTTGCGGGTTCGATACTTTTAGAGGCTCGTTCCTTGCGTTTTCGCAATTTTTCATTGGACTCTTGAAAGAACTGTAGTGCGTATTTATTCCTCGAAGATTTACTATCTCTTGGTTGTTCATTTATCTTCATCACTTGTCTCTTATGATCAACGTTGTTCTCACTGCTGCAACTTTCATCATCATCTGGGTTTACTGTTAATAAAAACATATTTTTGCAACAATAATCATTCACAAATATTAATAAATTGCTAATAAAATAACTACAAGTTGCAATTATATATATAGATATATAAACTTTTAAAAATAATGTGACTCAGGTAGCATAGATTACACTGATGCGCTATCCGCGGCCCACTTTATTTTTAATTTATTTTTTGCGACCTGGCGGCTTATAGCCAAAGATATAAAATCATATTTTCTATTTTATGTAAACTGTCAAAATAATAACATTATTCATAACAGTTTAACAGTTTCATTTAAGATGCATTAAAATCTTCAAGAAAATTCATATTTAAAAATGCAGCTTACATCTCATAAATAAATAACAGGTTTTTAAAATAATTGATTTTTATAAATTATCTTAATTTTTTATTTTGTTATTGATGACATAAAATTCAAAGTTAATCATTTTGGTAGTTATTTTTGCACAAAGTGAATAATCGTATAAAAACAATCATCGAAATAAATAACTGGAATAAAAAGATAGATAAAAAAATTTATATTAATATTAATAAATTATATGTATATATATACACACATTTATAAGCTCTATAATTTTTTTTGTTTACTTTATATACATATTATAATAATATATATGGCAAATTATTTAAGTAACATAATAAATTATATAAATTAAATAACATTGGTATATAAATATATATATGGTATATGCATAAAAACCAATGTATACATATGCATATGTGTATATATAATATGTACATTTATATATATATATATATATATACGCTATCGAAATAAATATTATATCAACAAGATCTTGTTTATATCTGAAAATGGTCCTCAGTTTAAGTAAGATTTAGCATCAGTGACATATAAAACATTCCAACAATAGATGCTTTCCTTTTAGGAAATATAATCGGCATAAACGTGATTCTATTATTCTTGGCGGTTGACAGTCAATAAATAGCAAAGATCCTAGACAACATGCATGCTTAAAAGACATTCTAAAGACATCGTAAAGATGTCTTCTAGACATTGTTTGGGATAGAAGGATAATTTTGTCGAATATCTTAAAAAGAAAGTATTTAAAAACAGAACTGACTTATGTGTGTGTGTGTGTGTCAATTCGTGTCACTAATGTAAGTGAAAAGCACCCAATATTCCAACAATGCATAAAAAAATTGAAAGTGTGTGACAGAATTTATCGTCAAGATTTTTAAAGAAGAGTTATATAAATTATGAGAATAATAAGCTTAGACAAATAATATTGGGGAAAAAAATATTATATAATATAAATTGAGTTATTTAGAAGAAAGTTTATGAAAAGATTTATTACTCAAGAAGAGATTAAAGGTTAAAAATCCATCAACTGTGAAAATAATTGCAAAAATCTTTTGAAAAGCCACTATAGTGTTAAAACAGTGGTTACGTCAGTAGAAAAAGCAGTTTTGCAACTGTTATAAAATTCTTTAATATAAGTGCTCTTACTTCCTCACTAAATTTAAACATATTCTTTAAAATTTTTGAAGTAGAATCTCACTTTAAAGAATGAAAATTGAATCAGCTTGAAAAAGAGTAGCTCAATTTTCAATCTTTAAAAGTGAGATTTCTTTAAAAAAAATTCACTGTAAAAGTTTTAAAGAGGACACTTAAATCAATTATATCAAAGAATCTTACAACAGTTACAAAACTGTTTTTTTCTGAACGTAAACAGTATCACATTTTTAAACAAAGAATGTAACAAAATAATGAATTATAATAAATCTCACTCAAAGAAGATTTAAAAAATATACCTCCATCCTTTTAATAAAACTTTATTAAAATTTTTATAATAAATACACATACCAAGCAAAGTTCGTTGCCGTTGTTTTTTAGCCTGCATTTGTTGCTTTTTTGCTTTTCCGCTGAATGGAACTTTTCTCCTTCCCTGAGGCATATTTCCGCAGTTTCAAGTTCGTTTTTTTTTTCAATCACTTTATCACAGATCTGTCACAAACAATTCGTAGTTTATTTATAAAGATTATGTTTAATTCGTCAAAATTCAGAGCCACTGTACTTACACCACTGTACGCCGGCAATTCGTTCATACGACTTGCAACGTGCCGAAACGCTGAATAAATACTACTACGAATCCGTGTTGTCCGTATTCTACGAGACGAGAATTTATACACGATGCAGAACAGCTGATCGTTTAACCATTGGCGCCATCTGAGACTGTTTTCGGACGAGACCACGCACGAAGTGTATTTAAAGTTTCGGACGGAATTAACCAAAGTGTGTGGCCATGTGGAGTATGAAAATTAAAGAAATTGTAACGAATCGACTAGATATGTGTTAGCGTGCAGATCATTGTGCATAATAATGTTCAAAGTTGCTTCATGAGGTATGCTCGTCTCACGCCATGCTCTCAATCTCACTCCCATTTCTGCTCACTTCCCACTTTCCAGCACTTTTAGCTCCCCGAGTCACCGGTGCTCCCACCTTGTGTTTACAGCTGCGCGCTGCGGTCCACTTGACGATTCTTTGTAGCGTCAAGTGGACCTCAGCCTAAATCGCATAATTGTCAAATAAATCATGAAGGATCAGCTGGAAAAATGGAGGTAGATGGTATAGTCGAAATGTTTTCTCGCTCCGAAACTTTGCATGGACTAAAATATTGTCAATACATTGGCGACGGAGATTCGAAAACTTTCAAAGGTATTATATAGATGCCCAATCTTATGCAGATATTACCGTTTTGAAAAAAGAATGTTTCGATCATGTACAGAAGCGTATGGGTACACGACTTCGCACTTTGACAAAAATGACAAAAAAGGTCTTGGCGGAGAAGGGAAACTAACAGCAAGATTAATCGACGACTTAATAATATATTATGGCCTTAGTATACGTCGAAATTATAATTCTATCGATATGGGTGACATTGTACCATAAAATCTCCACAGATGAAGAACCGCAACACGATTACTGCCCTATAAGCGCATAATATTATTTAATATTAAATAATATTTTAGGCATATTCTCTCAGAATATTAAATATAACATTTTAATA